ATATAATAATTATTATATATATATATATATATATATATATATATATATATATATATGTGTGTGTGTATAAAATTATTTTTTATTATATTTAAATGAATTTTTTTTAATTGTTAGTAATAATTGTATATTAATCATACCATGATCAATAGTTAAAACTTTTCTTGCCTTCATACGCAAAAATTTATCTAGTGGTAATCTGCCATGTTTTATGCCAACTTGTATGGCTAATTTATGACAGAGACCCTAAAAATATAAATATTATAAGAAAGTCATATGAACCATAAATTTTAGCTTACCTTATGACTATTATGATCAACAAGACCACCTATAACATATACATAATCATGTTCCAATTGAGTAATAACATTTTCTGATTCGCTAGTAAGATATATAATTTTTTCTTTTGGATAAACATTTAGATAAGATTCTGCATAAAATTTTACCTGCAATATAAATTTTGAAAAAATATAAATTATTCATTACACAAATTTTTATTTTTGTATAATATATTATTTCAATTTTATTAAAATAACATACATCCCAATGTTCATATCCATTGTGTTTTTGCATATCTGTTTTTGATTTTCCATTAAAACTTGTAAGAGAAAATTGCATTGGTGCAATAGCTCGTCTATTTAAAGTATAACATCTTAGTATTTGTTTAGTTAATTTTGCAATATCTTTATCAATCATTAAATCATCAAAAGATAAATCAATAGTTATTCCAATTTTACAACTACTATCTGCCATTATACTTTTTTTTAAAGCTTTTCTAGATGGTCCAAGATTTATATTATTTGCACGAGCAAATGCCCGTTTTTGTTTTGCTTTCTCTCGTTCACGTAATCTATAAAATTAAAATAATTTTTTTATCAATAGTATTATTATTAAATTCAATTTGATATAATTTAAAAAATATTTAACCTAATCATAATAAAATAATGGAATATATTGTATACATATAAAATCATATGTATAGTTCTTTAATTTATTAAAGAACTGAGAAATATAAACCTTAGTTCAATCTTTCGTTTCAACCATTTTTCTTTTTTTTTTACTTTTTTCAATTGACGTTTACTCAAATTTAGATGTAATTCCGGTAACTTTGTATCCATATTACAAGTTTCGTGTTCACAAATTTGTATACATTGTGTATCAATTTTCATTATTTCAATGTTATTTGTACCTTTTTCGATTTCCATATTTTAACAAAAAAGTAAGAAAATGAAACTCGTACTTTTATGATAAGATCTACTAAAATCTCATTGAAGAAAATCTCATTAAATAACTTTAGGCGCGAAAATAATAATATATTTGAAAGATTACAATAAATATAAAATAATATGTATTTATATATGTATTTATATAAATTTTTTATAATAAAATTATATAATAATTTAATTATTAATGCATTTTTATGTTTAATAATATTTTGATATACAAAAACATTATTTATTATTAAATCAATTATAGTTATTTATTAAATTTCAAATTTTTTTATTATTTTTTTAATAAATATAAAAATCAATAAAATATAAAAATCTTTTGAAAAACAACTTTTTAATATTCAATTTTGTTTGAAATATAATAAATAAAAGTAATTTACAATTTCTAGGGACATTATAATAGTAAAAGTAAATATTGGCAATTAGTTTAATAATTTCTAAAGAATAGAGTCATCTGGATGAAAATTTTAGGATTCATCTTGCAATAGCAAAAGCAGACGACTTTTGTACGTTTTAGTATTTGATCAGGTTTCGTGAAGTGAGAGAATGCAAGTTATTGGAATTGATGGTCGTGTTGTTGGTTATCTTTTTTGTTTTCTGATACTCCAAGCAAAATTAACAAACTCCAGAACTTCTTGGAGACTCAGTGCTGACAAAGTCGTCAAGACAACAGATTTCGTGAACACAATTGAGGATGATCCTATTTTCGATATTTTGGCTAGTAGCATTAGTGTTGGAAATGGACAAAGTTGGAGTAGGACAGCTATTTCTGAAAATTATGAAAAAATACAATCATATTGTCAAGATTGCAAAAATGTTGCATCTGGAAATCATGAACGGTAAGAAATCACAGGAGTTTGATTTATTTTGGGTAAGAGCTATGTGGCACATCTTGTTTCAGAATATAAAATTCAAAATGATACTTTTAACATTTTTTGAAACAAAGTGGATTTCGAGATTATTTTTTAAACATAATTCAAGAATTTATAAATGCCTGGAAAATTAAATCTCATGTTTTATGATTTTTTGCATATATACTATGGTATTCTGACAATACAATAATAGATATTATTGTAACATTCCACTTAATTAAAAGACATTTAAAGGTCTGAAATGATAAATTCTTTAAAGATAAAGTTTTCATTAGATTTTGTATTTTTTATAATATTAATATTTATCATAAATATATCATAAGATCTTAATCAAAATATTAAATTGTACTTTGTATTTGAGATTATTTTTTATATCACATTTGCATGTTTTGCATGTTTAATGTAATTATTAATATGCAGAGCATTATTACAACATATGTTTCATTTATTATAATTTTTAAATATTAATAAGAATTTACAAGATTAATTAATATTTACAAGAATTAAAAATATTTAATTTTTTAAGAAATTAATAAGATTAAATATTCAAATTGTATGAAATGTGTAAATATATAAAATATAATAATTCTTAAATATAATTAATCCAAAAAAATTAAATTATTAAATTATAAAATAAATATTAAATCTTTTTTATTTCTACATTTTATTTAATTATTATTAATTTTTATATTTTTTAGATTTTGTTTTTAATAATGCAATTTTCTTTTTCTTCCTGTAGTTAGTATTTGTGTGTGGCTTACTGTTCTTTCAGCGTTAAAAAAGCCCTAACTTTGGTCCCCTTGGCAGACGATTCTCGTCATACGTGTTGAAGGATACATCAAATGCCACTGAATCTTTTCCTCTATCATCTCAAGTATCAAATGAACAAGTTATGTGTGCTTCTGGTCAACAATGTGAAGATATAATTCTAGACTGTGGAAAGCCTGTTAATTTCACTTATTATGATAACTTGCTTGGTGTTGCAAATAGAGATAAACATCCATTAGTTCCAGAACCTAATGTAGCACTTATGTTTAAGAAAAATGGTGGCAAAACTATGGATGTTGATATTGATCTGTTAGAAAAACGTTTAATGAAAGCAAAACGAGAGGTATAATTATTAAAAATATTATTAAAAGAAAAAATAATTTATTAAAAAAATCTATTATTTGAAATTATTGAATTTGTTTTAGAAACCAAAGTCTGTTCAACTTTACAATCAAATAGGAAATTTTTGGCGTATAAAAGGTGATGCACAAAGATCAATTGAATGCTTTCGAAGAGCACTTGCTGTATCACCACATAATGCAGAAGTATTATTAAATTTAGCTCGAGTATTATTAGTTCAACAATATTTGGATGATGCAACATATTTAGCAAGACGTTCTTTAGAATTGCAACCTCCAGATCGTAATGCTTGGGAACAATATCTTACACTTGGACAAATATTTAAAGTAATTAAAAACTTTGAAAATATAATTATTTTATAATAATAGTGAATTTATATATATTCCATGTATATAGTGCATCTAATATATTTCATTTGATTAATCTCATTTATAATATATTAAATGTAAGAAAAATAATTTTGATCCTTTAAATTTATTTTATAACATTATCAAGAAATAATTAATCATTACAATGTTCATTTTTTTTTTGAAGGCATATGGCCATTATCAAGAAGCAGCAGTACATTTACGACATGCCTTAGAATTAAAACCAGATCTCTCTGAAGCTGCAGAAGCTTTAAGAGAGGTAGAGTCACTTCCAGCTGCAAGCATACATATCTATACATTACTGATAATTATTTGTTTGGTATGTAAAATAAAAATAAAAATATTATTATGTTGTTTTCATATAAATACATTAATAAACTTTATATTAAGATAAAATATAAATAATTGTTATTTATAATAAATATTTGAAATATAATATATAATATTTATGTTACAGGTACTTGGAGTACTTTTAGTAGTTTTAAGCAGTGTAGAATGTGATGAAGATTCTAGTTTAGTTAATGGACAACTTCAACGTCCAGTTCAACGTCATTTTAGTCGCGCTATGGCTATGCGCAGTTTACGACTTAATGTTGCTCGTAATAAACGTTGTTGATTATTTATTAAAAATAAAAATAATCTTGTGATATAATAGAACCTTGATCAATGCATGCAAACATCATTCATTATGTTGTGATGAGCATAATTTCATGTTCTATGGATAAACAAATGATGATTTATAAAAAAATATATAAATTTTGGATTGATTGTTTGAAATGTTTATTGCACAAATCTTGATATTTACATATATTTTTAATTTCATTTCGTACAATAATCAAGGTTCTACTATAGAATAAAATTTTCAGCTGTTATTATGTAATTACAAAGTATTATTTGTAATATGATTTTTAATAATTATTTAGTATATTAATAATTATGCAATTTATTATAATTATAAGTGAAAATATACAATAAAAAGCAATACTATTTTTCATTTACTATGAAAAGAAAAACAATATGTGCATATACATACATATTTTTATTATTTTCGTGATTAAAAATGGAATGTAATTTACGGAATTACGAGATATTTTTGTTAAATATTAACATAGATAATATTAACAGTATTACTTAACATCATTTACAATATACAGTGATATTAAAATATGTAAATTATTATTTCAAATATCTATTCTCTAACAAATTTTTATGTTTGTAAATAATTTACAATCGTGCACTTAATTTAAGATTTATATCATCTTTAAATAATAATTTTTAATATATACATGAAATACTTTTTTTCCTTCTACAAATAAAGATATGTAATAAATTTTATTTTCATTAATTCATATATAGATTAATTTTGCATTCATTTTTTTTTTTACATATTTTTAAATGAAAAACAATAATTTTTTCTTCTATTTTAAAATAATTTTAAAAATAATCTTCTGCACTCTAAATCAATTTCTGGATCATTTTTATTGATATAACTATTTATAGTTATAAATATTCAACATATATATACTTAAGTTTTTTATGTTTCTTATATTTTATATCAAATATATAAACTATATTTTGTATAATTTTAAAATCAGTTTTCTAAAGTTAAAATTTTCAGATTTTACTTATTAAATAATAATAAGATATAAAAATTGATCCAAAATTTTGAGTGCAACAAAAAAAGAAGTTTAATCCATTTTAATATATCACTTTTTTAGATCTATTTAATATTAAATTATTAAATTAATTTTAAATATTCAAGAAAAATTATATTAATATTAACATAAAATAAATCTTTAATGTATTATTTTTAAAATTAAAAGAATACATAAAAAGATCATGTTTCGTAATATAATTAAATAATAATAAAAATTATTTTTTATTATCAATGCAAAATCAAAATATCTAAAAATCTAACATATGCATAAAATTAGGCCGTACATTTGCATAATTTTTGCTTTATGTACAAATACCAAAAACTAATACTAATTAAGACTATTTACCACAATTTAATTCATACTCCTTTAAGGGTTTTTGCAAAGAATGTATCCATGCAATAGAAAATACTGAAAATATTTTTAGTATATTTTATATTCAATAATTGTATTATTAATACAGTTTTTTGTTATTAATAAAATTTTATATTTGATAATTTAAACTTATATTAATTTTTATTTATTGTACATACTTTTTATTGTTCAATTTTTTTTTTTAATTTGTATAAGACAAAAAACTTATTCGTTATTTATATAAAAAATATGAATTATTTCATATATTTTATATATTTTGTTTAAATAAAAAATATAATATGTACATTATTTAATATTTGTGATATAATAAGAAGAAATATAATAGAGAAAATTAAATATTAATTATATTTTTTAATTATCTTAATGCTTCAAAAAATTATAACAATGTGAATATAAAATATGTATTTTGCTTAACTTTTAAATAAAATTTATTATATAATAATTCAAATGAAATTTTTTTAGATATAAATTATTTTATAACTGAATCAAAAAAACAAATTAAAAAAAAAAATACTATATCATAATATAGTAAAATATATATATTCATTGACTATGAAGTTTCTTATTCTATGTACATAGAAACATCTTTGTCTATAATTACCCTTAAAAGGTATTTATATGCAACATGCATTTATCTTAATATACATATGTAAACAGTGAATATATAAATTAAATGTATATATATATATATATATATATATATATATATAC